CCTCCAACTCCTGGGCTTAGGTAATTCTCTTGCCTCAGCCTCCCGAGTAGCTGGGACCATAGGCACCCGCCATAACGCCCAGCTATATTTTGTTGCAGTTTGGCCAAGGCCAGGTTCGAACCTGCCACCCTTGGTATATGGGGCTGGCACCCTACTCACTGAGCCATAGGCGCCGCCCAGGTTTTTCTATTCTTTATTTTTATTTATTTATTTTATTAAGTCATATACACATAGATCATGAATACATTTATGCATATGTGGGGTAGTTTTTTCTATTTTTAGTAGAGAAGGGATCTCGCTTTTTTTGCTCGGGCTCATTGAACTCAAGCTATCCACCTGCCTGGGCCTCCCAGAGTGCTAGGATTACAGGCATGAGCCACTGTACCTGGCTCCATGAAACATTTTTACTTTTATTTATTTATTTTTGAGATAGAGTTTTACTTTGTCACTCTCGGTAGAGTGCAGTGGCGTCACAGCTCACATCAACCTCAGACTTTTGGGCTTAAGTGATTCTCTTGCTTCAGCCTCCCAAGTAGCTGGGACTACAGGCACCCACCACAACGCCCGGCTATTTTTAGAGACAAGGTCCTGCTCTGGCTCAGGCTGGTCTGGAACCTGTGAGCTCAAGCAACCACCCGCCTTGGCCTCCCAAGTGCTGGGATTACAGGCATGAGCCACTGTAGCCAGCCTAATTGTTAGGAGCCCCTGGTTAGCGCTGTGCAGGAAATGGCAGGCACAGGGGCTGGGCGCCCACAAGGGCAAAAGGTGTGCAGGCGCTCCTAACAATTTTTCCTACTTTTCTGTGTGTTCAAGAGTGTTCCTTATAAGATGTGGGGAGAGGCATGAAAAAACAAAGACTGGGCGGTGCCTGTGGCTCAAGGCCCCATATGCTGGAGGTGGCGGGTTCAGACCCAGCCCCAGCCAAAAACTGCCAAAAAAAAAAGAAAAAACAAAGACTTGGATGGGTGGTGCCTGTGGCTCAGTGGGTAGGGCACCGGCCCGATATACTAGGGGTGGTGAGTTCGAACCTCGCCCTGGCCAAACTGTAACAAACAATAGCCTTACGTTGTGGCGGGTGCCTGTAGCCACAGCTACTTGGGAAGCTGAGGCAAGAGAATTACCTAAGCCTGAGGGCTGGAGGTTACTGTAAGCTGTGATACCACAGTACTCTGCTGAGAGCAATAAAGTGAGACTCTGTCTCAAAAAAAAGAAAACACAGACTTGAAGAAAATGTGGCCTTCACAACAAAGTCCAGGGAAGATGTGAGCGCTGAATCAAGGCCCAAGAGTGGGTTCATGTACATCGTGTGTGGTTCTGAAAGCACAGTATGCGGCCTTCGCAGCCGGAGCAGCAAATGGAAGTCAGAAACTGAGAGGCCAGCACACCCCTGTGCCAGGGCCGCCACCGAGGGCCAGGCAGCCTGCCAGAAGGGCCTCAGTGTTGGAGCCAAAGGACCCTGAACACAGACACACTTGCTGACAGCAGGATAAAGGATGTGCCCCCTCCCAGACAGTACCTTCTGCCACCTGCTCTCAGAACAGTTTGTAGCACTTCCATCTTACATCTTTTTTACATTACTTTTCTATATTCCTTTACTTTCATGTGGTTTTTGTAAGCAGCTAGCCTTTTAAAATCCAGTCAATTTTTCTCTTAGATTGTTTGGTCCTGTT